AAAAAAAATGATAACAATAATGATATTGTTTTCAAATATTATTTAATTTTATGATATTTTATAAAGTAATAGTAATAGAACATTTTTTACTTTGTATTTAACTATTATATCAAATAGTTAGTAGTGTATTAAATACCTAGGTAATTTCATTATTGTCTTTTCGATTTTTTATAAAAAATATGATTGATTCCAAAGATGATCAATTTAATAAATCTGTAAGTAAAGTACCTACCTACCTACTTAATATTTTATTTTCGATTTCATAAAAAATTAAAAATATTTCATGGTTGTGGTTAATTTTACGTGTACATTATAGTTGTGTATATCATGTACATAATTATGAGATCTACCTACCTTTTGCATACTCATTTAGCATATCTTGTTACATAAAAATATAAAATATATTTAAGTTGTTGGTTGACATTATCCATAAGTATTTGTTTTATATTTTATAAATTGCCAGGTTGATTTTTTTAACTGTAAATTTTTTAATGAATCATTGATGATATTATAATTATACAAAAAAAATAAAATAATAAGTACCTATCTTAAAACATGTTATTCCTACTGTGTTTAAAACGAATTTATAAGAATTGTTTTAAAACAAAATAGTTATTGGCTCTTCGTTTAATTTAATTAATAATTAAAGGTCTAGCTTTGTCTAAGGTAGGTCCTCCTCCTAGCTCAACATTTGCTAAGACTTTCAAAAATATGAAATGCAACCTGTACTTGTATAAATAGGTGATAACTGATAAGGAATAATTAATGTTCATGAGTGTTGAAATTTTAGTAATTTATTATAGTAAATTAATCAAATTCAATAGGTATTTTTAATTAATAATAATAATGAAAAAAAAGTTTCAGTTTCTTATTTCTTGATAAATAATATAATAGATATATATATATATATATATATATAAAATATATATCATGTTTAAAATTATTTACTAATTATATAATATAAAAAACTTTCATCAAAAAATAAATAGTTTTAAATAGTTTTATTATTACTTACTTGTAATTACTTAAAATAACAACTGACAACTTTTATCAATTGTTAAATATGAAGAGGGGTACCTACTACCTATTACATACCTAATTTATAATATTTTTCAGAAACCTTAATAATGTATCTCTTAAGAAATGAAAAAAAAAATATTAAAAAAGTTAAAAAAATTATGGAGATGAACTTTTTTTTTTGTTAAGTTCTCATTATTCATAATTTTTTGGCATATTGAATTGAATTGGTCAAACTCCTCCATAAACTTAAAAGCTTTGTTATTTATTATGTCAAAGAAAGTTTTATTTTTTAGTTACTAGAAATTTAATAAAATAAATTAATTATAGTCATAATTTTATTTTTATTTATAATGTACATACTACACTTGTATTTAACTATTAAATATTATTCTTTAGGTTTATCATTAAATAAACCACATGTGTAGTTATTAGTTATACAATAAAATATCAGATTTAATGTAATTTTAATATTACATTTTTTATTTAGAGTAATTGGAAAAAACGTCCCCGTCAAATCCAGAAAAAATGGAATACTCTTGCTATTTTTAAAGATGAAAAAATACTTTTAATGAAGTTTGATAACCTGGTAAAATTTTTAGTTTTTAAAATGTATATATATATTTTTTTTTGTTTTTTCATTAATACAAATTTTAAAATTAGTATTTAATAATTATATAGGAATAATTTTATATTAGATAATTTGGTAAATAAATAAAGTATGTATATTATATTTATAATATATGAATTCATTACATTACCTTTTGTATGTTACATATTGTGATTTTTTTAAGGCTTTCAATCAATTTAAAACTAATACTCCCAATAAAAATAAAAATTACAATATTAAAAAGGTAGGTAAGTTATTTCTTGAAATTTTATAATATTAGCTAACTATTATTATCATTACTGATTTGTTTATTTACATCTATAACAAACTAAGTTTCATGCAGGGGGACACAATTCGTGTTCTATTCTCCTTTGAATGGCTGGATAAAGCCATTCTTTACTTAATTATCTTTTATATTTATTTACTATTTATTTTATTATTAGTAAGTTAATTAAGTAAATTTTTAGTAATAATGTAATTTATAATTGAATATTTATATTGATATCTTTAAGACTCATATAAACACTTTGTAAACAACTATTTAAATAATTTTTTTGATAATAAAGTGTAAGACCCTATACAGCTTAGCGTCAAGCAATAAATCTTAAATACATCTATGGTGAAATGCTTTTAGATCTTATCTTGTTCAATTATTAAGCTATAGATCCACCACAAATCATTGTTTTGAATGTTTTTATTTATCAATAGAATTCATAATAATATAAAAATAGTTTTATAATTATTGTATTCAGTGTTTTAGAATTATCACGAAAACTAATAAAATTTAAATAATTACAATTATGAATATTGCTGTAAAAAAAATATGTTTAGATAGAACATCTAGATAGAAAAAATCTAGGATCGTGATTAGACAGTGTAGTTAATTAATATTATGATATACATTTAATTATCTAAAAAATGCATACATCTCATAAACATTGCATAAAGCCTGGTTCTAATTGGAAATAGTACACTTGTACACTACTTGTAGATAATTATGTTTTCTAGTACCATTACTTTTTATTTTCAAAAGATAAGATTTAATAATTGTATTAATAAGTTTAAATTGCAATTGATTATAAGCTATCTAATTGTTAAGAATAATATTAATTTTTATTAATCAAGGAAATTGAAGATATTAAATCAAATATTCAAACAAATGTATGTGAATCTTATAAATATTCTGTGGATTCAAATAATATTAATTTTTCTGTGGACATTTTTAATACTTATAAAAAATCATTCAAGATTAAACATAATTTAAAGTAAATATTAAATTACTCTTATATGTGTGTGTGTGTATACTAAATTTAAGCACAATATTATTTGTTTTTAGAAGTGAATATTGGGAATTAGCTGCTCAAGGGGAACAAGAAACGCCATTGCAAAAATATTATAGATTAAAGTTTGAAACCGAGGACTTGTTACAAGATTCTATTTTTCAAATAGTTAGTTTTCAGTTGATGTACCTTAGGAAATAATGAAGTTATTTAAGTTAATCTCAACATCCCTATACATTGATAATAAAACAAATTATTTTTTGAATATTTCATAAGTGTAAATAATCAAAACATTTTGAAAAAATCATGAAAAACTTTGGTGTAAATAATGAAAAAATATGTGACTTTTAAACAAAATTTTAAAACATTTTTGAGTGAATCTATCTAGAATCCATTTTTAATGTTAAGTGTTAATAACCCATTCAGTAGTTATTGTTTTTTTTTTTTTTTTTTTTTTGTTAAATTTACATATTTATTTTAATGTTTGTTTTTATGTAATTTAAATCTGATACAAATAATATTAATTTTAAAAATATCATAGTCAAATCTATGATGTTAATGTGTTTACACAAAATGTATTTACTGGTTTTTTCATAACTCAATGAAGAAATTCTTATACTTTGTTTGTTGCTGTAGTGCTATTTTTTAATACAAAATGTTGAATTATTATTATAAAATCTTATTTTTATATCTTGTATATCAAATCTTAAATTATCATTGATTTATGTATAATTATTGGTTGTAAAAATTTTTTATAATCAATGATTGAATGATATAATATATTACTTTATAATTCAAACAAATAAATTTACCCATCAATAATAATTTATGATTAGATAGTAGTAATCAAATTATAATAGGTAGAATTTATTTTAAGGTGGATGAAAATGATCATAATAAAAAGCTATGGGCTAATATTGGATTTCTAATACAAAACATATTAAACAAATTGTCTGTAAATAGTGTTGATGGACATTTTAAACTTTTAAAAAGTTATAAAATTACTAAAATTTTTAATTTACTGTAAGTTATTTTAAATTTAATTTGCTACAGAATAATATAAATCTTAATTTTATTTAATGATTCTCTTTTGTTAGTTTATATATTTTATTATATTAAAAATGTACTATTGTTTAATTGTATACCTACTAATTTGTCTTTGATTGCTTTTAATGTTATATTTTTATTTTCAGAAACTTCATTATTACTAATTATTTTGAAAAACATTTGTGTAATATTGACAAAAAACAATTAATTTTCATCAATAATATGTCTAAAGATTTGAATATTAAAGTGACATTAAAAGATTTAAAACCTAGTACATTAAAAACTGTACAATTACATCAAATATCTCAATTAGAAGATCGTATACAAAAATTAGAAAAAATAATTGGACCTGAAAAATCAACTCTGGTAAGAGGTACTCTATTTTAGTGAAGAAAATATTAACAATATATTTTATAGTTTAGACTAAGTTATTGTTTTCTGAATAATTTTATATAATATTTTTTTTTTAGATAATTTAAACTTTACTTTTTAGTAAGAATTGTAAAATCATAAAAATTTGTTTATATTAAACATAACATTATACATCCTCCACATATATTATATTATACTATATTTCTCATCTCTTGATTTAACTATCAATATATTTTACAGATGCGCTTAGCTAGTAAAAATAACAGTGGAGAATTAGTTGAAGCAGTTAGCATGTTAAAGGAATTGTCCAAACTTATTTTACCTCAAATTAATGTAATTGAATCTAGAGCTTTTTACTTGCTACCAAAGTTAAAACAGATAACTTCAAAATTAGTTGATAAAAGGTTAGAAGTAAATAAAAAAACTAATAAACTCTTTAAAACTATTATAAGAGCAAGAGAAGAATCACATTTGTTACCCCATGTTATACAAAGAATGAACATTTTAGATACTTTTCGTCATAAAGGTAAAATATGAGTATTAATTTAATAAAAATGTATTCATTTACTTTTTTAATTGTCAATTAATCAAATTTTTTAAATAAATTTTAAATATTGTTAATAAAGAAATCCTTTAATTTTATTAACTTCAGAATTAATTAAGTACTAATAGATTTATAGTTCAGGTTTTTTAATCATAAAGATTCTCTCTTTTGCGTAGATTGTTCTACACATTGTAAACATTATACATATATAAAATTAGAACATTACCGATGAAATTGTAGTAATTATGTTTTAAACCTATGAAATCACAATTAATTTAATTTGTATTTTTATAACATTCTTATTATTGAAATAATTAATCATTTTCAATTATTAGTCTCAAGATTTTTAGTTGATCGCACAAAGTCTCAGCAAAGATTAATCCACTTAAAACTAAAATTTAAATTACAGTACAATATTAAGTATATAGTTATAAATTAAAAATTAATTTTTGTATTATTTGACTTACAATGTTTTATTTAATTATTTAATGTTTATTGTTAATTTAAAAATTCTAAATGGTTAATAAAAATTTGATTTCAATAATTTGTTTTAGTTGAGACATTTGCCATAACAGTGAACAATCTTAGTACTGAATATTCAGAAACTTCTAAGACTCTCAAGAAAAATGAATTATTAATTAATAATATTGAAATACATATACCTAAACATTTAACAAGCGTAGTTTCCAGTTTGCAATCTTTAGATACTCAAATAAAAGTATTTGCTGATCAATTGAAAAATATTAAAGAGTAGTAAAATTGTACAAAATTATCTACATTTAATAATTCAAAATACTTTTATTTATTTTAATGTTGATAATAATTATAAAATATATTATCTATAATAATATAATTTTATATTCTTGAATTTAAAAAATATGTGAGTAACATTAGGTATATAAATATAATAATTTTCCTACTGATATTTTATATATTTATTATTTAAATAAATATACAAATGTTTAATATAATTTTGACAAAATTATATTTATTTAATTAGTACCTATGTCTTGTTTGGAATATAAAACGATAATTAGAATTATGAAAATTCCTTGCCTCTTAATTCTGTTTCAAGCTTCCAATATTCAACATTTATATAATTACAAATTATTGAGTTAAAAAGAAACTGGAAAAGATTATTTGCTGTTTATGTTAGGTCTTGAGTGTAAATTGTAATCATTGTAATAGAATATTGAATTCATTGATATATGTAAATTATACACAAATAACGATTCAGTTCAGAAACAATGTGTTCAGCATTCAGCTACTATTTCTATTTTTTTTTTTTATATATATAACCATTAATGATATGATATTATGGTATATTGATTTAACTTCTGACAAAATCCCATGATTTAAAAATTATAAATTGTAATATTATATCAATAAATGATGTATTCATCATACATTCATTCTTATGGTTATATATGTTATATAATATAGAATAACTAACAATTTTTTCATGAATGAAAACTGCTTAATATTCAAAAAATTATCATATTTAAATGAAGATGAATTTATAAATTATATATTTGTATAATTATTATAAATGAATGGTAAGTTAGAAAAACAAATTCATCAAAAAAAACTAATCAATATCTCAAATTTGTATTTTTAAATACACACTTTACTATAATAAAAATAATTAAAATAAATTACATATAAATATTAAAAAAAAAAAGAAAAATTAAACATATTAAAAATCTCTCAAAACAGTTTTCCAAATATATAATAAGTCACAACCTATATTATTTATCTATTTGCCTTAAAAACAAGAGATTTATCAAAAACAATATAAAAAATTAAAAATTTTAGCACATTAATTATTAGAAAATATCATATTACCATTTTACTAACTAAAAATTATCATAAAAATAAATTATTTCTGGATAACATAATGAACTTTTAAAATGTTTACAATGAAAATGTATGAAATTATATAAAACACGTGTTAATCATTTTTTAATTCATAAGTTATACTTAGTATAATAATATAGCTTTTATTTCATATTATAAGACATTTATTCAATGTTATTAATGCAATATAGAATAAAATTAAAGGTATTTTATGAGGAAACTTTATCAATTTAATTTATTTTATTTGAATTATAAATGTACAAAATTTGAAGTTTTTAAAGTACTGCACTTGATATAGTTGTATATTATAAAGGTTTTAAACATGAGCATATTTAAATTATTACATTTCAAAACATTTATCAATTTATCATCAAATATATAGGTATTATAAGAACTCAAGTTTAATGGACGAATAAAAATCAGTAGGTAGAACTGATGTTCAATAATTATCTACATAAAACTTGTATAAAATATAAATTTGTATATTTTATAGTTCATAGTAAAATAACTTTTACTCAAAGGCATAAAAATATATATAAAACTTTACAACTGAAAAACATATAAATACTTAATAAATAACATTTACAATTTTTATTTTTATGAAATGTAATTAATCATTAAACTAAAATTACACTCATGTAGTTGTTATGGAATACTGTTGTCAGTATAATTGAAAAAATTTAAGTTTAGCTGTTTAGAATAGTGGTTTCTTTTAACTCTTTAGTGTTAAAGTTCAAATAATTACCATAACATATAAACTGTATCTCATCAAATAGGTATTAATAAAAATAACAAAATAATATGATCAATTCATCTAGTTTGGGATCTGTAAATTTAGTCCCGATAATTGACCTTATAATTTGGAGCCTTCTATAGAACACCAACATTTACACTATAGTTTAATACTTGACCAGAAAATTTTAAATTTTGTTGGTACATTACATACAATGAAGATCATAATTATAAAAATCTGGTTCAATGGTATAGTCTATGCCTTGATTTGAGCCAACAGATTAACTAGGAATGATACTATTTTACATTATATCAGATAATTCGTTTCAAGAATATCAACATTAACATTAGCTACAAATCTACCTTCAAATCGATAGTTACATCGATATACTGATCCAAACTTCTTTTTACCAAACAGTTCAAGTATAATTTTACTCATTGTTTTGTCAAAAATTTCATCTATGAATCCAAGTCTCAAATTCGTGTCTGTAGGAACATTATTTACGGTATAAGCTTCCAAAAATGTACGTACCTAAGTTTTGTTTTGAAACTTTATTCAGTAGTATATTTACTGATAATAACGCATAACACAAGTCTTTACTAAATGAGAACTTTTTGGTAGAGTTGGTAATCAATTTTTGTTATTTTTTGTTCACCTTGGATTTCTGCACGTTTAACGACAGAAATGTTGTGTGATATCTAATTTGTTTTCATGGTTCATTTTAATATTAAAAAATTTACATAGTATTTAATGACTAATACACTTGCTTTGGTTGCAAACGTATTATCATAAAATTTGTGAACAATATTTCTACGATTACTAGAAACAGATTTGTTGTCTTTAGGCATGATAAAATTAATTATAAACATACAAAACTACAAAATTTAGATTTTGAATTCATGAAATGAACTAGCACACATACAATACAAAAAATCGGAAACGACTGCAAAATGTTACTTATTATTGAGTAATAATCTGTTAATAATCTGAAAATAATGATATCGGAATATCTAGATAATGATATTGGAATACTTAAAATCTATAAAAATAAAATACTAGTGCATACTCTACAATTATAATGGTTTCCTTATTGATGGAATTACGAAGTTTTAGGCGTACACTTTTGCTATGTCGCGCGTCGTACCTATTTAAGTTATGTAATATGATATTACAAGAAGAAAAATTAATTTACACGAATTAATTACAAATATAAATAATTAATACAACTATAAATACTTGTTATTATAAAGAAAAAAATGTTTGAAAGGCTACAAATCTGAAAAAAAAATAATAATTATGCAAAAATAGTCAGAAATAGAAAAAAAGCAAAATTGCACTTATACTTCAAAATATGCAAAAATATGTAACATTAAGTATTTAGCTTCTTTGTTATCTGAAACAAATTTATAGTTCACATAGGTATCTCTAAGACCTCTCAAAACAAAAAAAAATATGAAAATGCTAGAAGTTATGAGCCTTGATAATGACATTATTATAATTGTTTATAGATAGTTAATTGTTAATAGTTATATTATTTACCTATAGGCTATATTTAAATATTATACAAATATTAAAAATTAATTTATATTAAAATGTTGTTGACTAATGCAATTATGTTATTTAAATGTTCACTGTATTTTTTAAATAACATTTAACAAACATTAAAGGTTTCTAAATTTATATTGCCATATTTTCTAAATAAAATCGCAGGGCACTGATGGGCAATATTGGCATATAACGAGTTCTGTTTCAATTGTGAGTTAATATAAGCTAAGGTCAACTGTTGTTTTTCAGTACTCAAATTCGATGTATTTTATATTTAAAACAAATGCAGCGATGCATTTTGCTTATTTTTAAACACTAAAAACTAATTTGAAAAATAATACGTTTACGATTGTGTAAAATTATTAATTATTATTTATTATCGTAGTGCTTTTCGTAATAAAATAATATTATTATTATACACTAATAATAATTAATATTATTAATAGTTAATATTATTACCTATATAATATTATTTTCGTTATCGTATGCTTAAAAATATAATGTTATTACGATTTATTAGTTAGGAAAAACCGTATAATCGTTATATCTATGGATTATGGATCCATACTGCACACTACTACATAGTTTCTGTAAAGTATAAACGGTTATTTGTGTGAGTATTGAGTAACGACTAACGACGCCACGACGGAATATCATAGGTAAATGCTTTTATTGTTTTTATACTTTTATAGTCAGAACTCTGGTCTGAAGTCTTTATTTTTCAACTAATATAGTAATATTCAGTATTGTAATGTGTCAATGTGCGGCTATAATTTTATAAAACTTACATAAATCAATTGTAATAATTTTATTGTTTATGATTTATACGTTTAGTCCTTGCGACTGCCAGACTCATCTCTTTTTAAACATTTTCGGTAAATATTGTTTTCACTAGTATCGTAATTTGTTAACTGTAGTATTAATACAAAGTCTCATGATAAATGATCATATTATTATTATTATTATTATTATTATTATTTTTTTTTATTGAAAAGAAAAAGAAGGCTTCGACATTGAAGGTCATTAGCCTTGTGTGAAAATTACATTGTAACAGAATTTTAAGTTTACAAAGTATAAGATTTTACATTTATATACATTTATATACATCAGAGTTTATTTACAATATATGTTTCGTTAAGGAAATTTAGAATTTTTATGGTGTTTTCTTCTTCTAAGTTGTCTGGTACTGATAGGATGTTTCGGATGTTTTGAAATTCTGGGCAGTCTTGTATGATGTGTTGGATGATTACGTCTACTTGGCATTTATTGCATATGGGAGTTGGATCTTTACTAATTAAGTGTGAGTGAGTTAAGAATGTATGTTCAGTTCTTACTCTGGTTATAGTGACTTCTTGTCGTCTATTTATGTTTTGGGGAATTTGCAGCTTTTTAATGGTTTTTTAATTTATTAGACAACGGTATAGAATTCCAATAATTTTGCCATATCATGTTTATTTTTTGTTTTATGGATGCTTTAATGTCATTTATTGGTAAGTCAGTGATAGTTGAGTGAAACATTGTTTTGGTTGCTATATCTGCTGTTTTGTCAGCCATCTCGTTAAAAGTAATGCCGATGTGTGATGGTACCCACATAAATTCTGTATTTTTTTTTTTTATGAGTTTATTTCGTTTGTTGGGAAAGGATTTTGGAGTGCCACGAGAGTGCTAAGTGAGTCGCTAATAATTGATATTTAATATGTTGTTATTTGAAGTGACTGTATTAATTATTTTAATTGCTTCGTAGATAGCGTAGTTTTCTGCTGAAAAAATACTGCTTTCTGGTGGAAGTTTGTGTAAAATCTTGGTTTCTTCTTGAATGATTGCAAAGCCACTTCCATGTGTTGACTTAGATGTCTTGGTATAGATTTGTAAGAAGTTAGAGAATTTTTCTTGGATTATTTCTTTAAAGTAAGTGGTGATAACTGTTGAATTTGTTTCATGTTTATTGTAGTTATTTTGTTAATTCGGTGTTGAGTTGGATTTTCCAAAGCCAGGGTGAGAATTTTTGGAAAGTTGATTTATTCTTGACATTTGTGTGGATTTTGAGTTTGTTGCACAATCTAAAGAAAGTATCTTGTATGGATGGTATTTGTTTCTTAACTATGTTAGTTGGATTGATATTTTTGTCGTTGAATATATGGTTGTATTCTATATGGTCGGGAGTGCTTTTCCTTTTAATGCCATAATTTAATATTTATTTTTTTCTGAAGAGTGTTAGAGGTAATTCGCCAGCATAGCATAAGATGCTATCAATGAGGATGGTTCTAAATGCTCCTATTGATATCCGAATTCCCTCATTATGGATAAGGTCTAATATTTTTAGAAGATTTTCTTTAGCTGTGCTATAAATAATTGACCCATAGTTTATTTGTGACAGTGTTGATGATTTATATATGTTAAGAAGACATTTAGTGTCAGCGCCCCAGGTGTGATGGGAAAGTGTTTTCATTATATTCATTTTTATTTTACAAGATCTTTTGAGTTTTTTGAGATGGGTGGTCCATTTTAATTTGTTATCGAAGGTCATTCCTAGTATGTGCAAGGATTCACAAATAGGTATTTCAGAATTTTTGAGAAATAGTTTGTGATTATTTGTTGAACGACTAGAAAAATTATACATTTGCTTTTTCTAGGGAAACAAAACATTAAAACCACAAAAGAAATATTACAAGAAGCCCTTAATATTCTATTACTATTATTATATGTATTTATTATTTACCTATACCTATTGATTATTAAAATACTGTGTTCTTTAAACAAATTTATGAAATTGATGAAATATTGTTTAAATAAAACTGAAAAGTGTGATAGAGAAAGTATTAGTTTGGTATAAATGTAAGTTTTATTAAAAATAAAATTACTCTTTAGGGCAAACTTTTAGTTAAGATTTAATTTAGTTCTTAAACCGAAATTACATGATGTATAACTTCTAAATAAAGAAGTAATAAAAAATATGGGTAACTATAATATTTTATTTCATTATTGTTCTATTTTAAATTGTATGTGTACTATAAATTGAATTTACTTATGCAAGTAACTAGTAGGCTAAATACACTTTAATAACTAACTATAAACAATTGAAGTTTAAAAATAATTATATTTAACTATTTAAAGACCTACTGCATTCTTTAAATACATTTTTTAATATACAATATAATAAAAAATTTAACACTTATTATATGTTAACAAATCATTATTAGATTAATAACAAGTCTTCTTTAATTTAAACTTCTGATATTTATATTATTCAGTTTGTGGTAGTAACTAATTTAATACAACCTACCAAAAATGAGTACTGCTTATTATCATTTAAAAAAACATCAAAAACTTAAACAGTCAACTGAAATTGGAACAGACGTATCAATATTCATATCCAAAACACTAGATATTGAACTTGAGAATTTAGATTTTAGTCTTTCCTTTGGAAGCTGGTATTGCTAGAAATGTATTAAATTTATCTCAACATATAAGATTGTCTACCAGAATTGAAGATAATTATGATGTATCTAATCTAATAAATTCATCTCCAGAGTACTTTAGTAAATCACCAGATAACAATCTATTTGATTATAAATGTTATTCTTCTTTATCATCTTTTGAGCATTCATCAAACTCAGACTATAGTGATGATTACTATATATTTTCTTCAATGCCAAGCCTTTTTGATAAATTAAGAAACTTTGTTGTACAATTTAGAAGTAACATAATGGTTAAGTTAATTGAGAATTTGCTTGAGATATTAGTTTAAAAATCATTATGATTTACTTAAATCTGCAACGGGTTTCCTAAAAATCAAATCTAGTAAAAACATTCAAGTAATGAAAAGTTTAAAAACACAAATGGATCATATGTGGATTTTGGCATTGAAGAAGGATTAAAAGATGTAATCTTTGATGAGTATACTGAAGAAATTATACGTTTATTATTTAATATTGATGGCTTACCATTGTACAATAGTTTAAGCAAACACTTTTGGCTTAACTTGAGACTTATTGTGCATAACCAATATGACTCAAATCCATTATAATGGTGATTATAAACTTAAAAACATTAATGATTTTTAATCAACTTTATTCAGGAATTAATTAATTTAATTTAAAATGATTTACATACTTGACAAAAAATGGTTTAAAATAGAAATTATTGAATTTTTCTGTGATACACCTACAAGAGCATTTATCAAGAAATGTTATAAGGCTCATTGAGGATTTTACTCGTGTGAGTATTGTAAAACAAGGGACAAAACAGTAAATCAGAAAAGAGTGTATCCTAACTTAAATTCAAGATTTTAAACAAAAAGAAGTTTTATAATACAGCATTAATGTGAGCACCATTTAGATGGTAGGTTGCTGCTGTTAGATATTCCAGACTTTGACCCTGTAAATTCTGTATTCTTGGACTTGTTGCATTTAGGTACATCATCTTGGTATAATGAAATGGGTTTTACAACAATTACTTGGTACAAAATGCGAGTTAATTGTAAAAGTAAATTTTCCCAAAATAAAGCATTTCAATTCAATTTTATAGATATTTACTAGGCATATTATATCAAAAGAATTCCAATGAAAATAATTAGATTTAGATTTATTTGCTCACTGAAAAGCAACACAGTTTAGATTTTTTTTTAACTAGTCTTTGCTACTACGTAAAATTCTAAACCAAAAAATGTACCATCATTTTTTTACTTTAAGTAGTTGCATTTAGAATTTTAAATGATCCTAAATTATACTAGAAGTTACTGAAAAAATTTTTTGAACTTCTTTCTTTGTTTTATGGATCTGATTCACAAATTGTAAATAGCCATAATTTGATTAATTTAGCAGATGATGTAGAACACAAATATTCCTTTGTCTGGTATATTTGCATTCCCTTTTCAAAATTTTCTTAGAAAAATTAAATGAATGATTGGTAGTAGAAATAAGCTTCTAACACAATTAGTTAAAAAAAGTTTTAAAGCAAAAGACATGTGATTATGATGAAGAAAGATATATACAAGAAAAAAATCCTTATAATTAACCTTAACATTACTCATAAAACTAAAAATGATTCAAAAAGCATTGTTTTATGTGGGTTTGAGTTAAATACAACATAACTAAGCAATATTGTAAAATAGGATTTTAGCTATATTTTTAGTATAACAAGATTTCTAAGGAAACAAAATAGTATTTATTTGCATGGTTATGCATACAAGACTGTTACTGATGCCTTCAAATTTTCTTGCAAATCTACAAAAGTTGGAATTTTCAAATTTGGTAGATTATGTAATGGAAAAATAATTATTTCAATTAATAACATTTTTAAAAAAATGTGTTCTTTTTTAAAATGGGAGTTATGCAATGATATAACTTCATAACTCATAATAATTTTAACATTATAATAAACAAAACTTTTTAAAATTATATTTAATTTCTTTTAGTTAAAACTATTACAGCTCAAAAATTTACTAAACTAAACTTACTGTTAATAATAAATATATAATGATAACTAATTAAATTACATACACATTATATAAATAAATAATAAATGAAGATATACATATTGTAATATTGTTAAAGACATGGACTTTAAAAAAGCAACAACACATGTTTTAATTCAATTTAATAAAATAATAAAATGTGATAAAACAACCATTAACTTAATACCTTTATCGTGGACTTAATTGAAAATGAAAAATTGTACTGCAAATATTCTAATAAAAACGAATTTGCCAAAATAGACGAAATAAACAAAACACCATTTATTTCTAAGGTTTCAACGAAAAGCTTTAAAATTAAATTAATCAAAGAAGCCTTTAAGTATTTAAACTGTATTTTACATTATACACAAATAATGTACATAAATAAATACACACTCACACACACAGAATAAGTGATTA